TCGCCGGAGCCCAGCAGGCCGAGGCTGCGGTGGCCAGGAGCGGCCCCTGCACTCCAGTCTGGGCGACAGAGTGAGACTCCAACTCACAAACAAACAAACAAACAAAAAAATTTTTTTTTGAGTCAGAGTCTCACTCTGTTACCCAGGCTGGAGTGCAGTAGCTTACTGTTACTGCAGCCTTGAGCTGCTGGGCTCAGGTAATACTTCTGCCTCAGCCTTCCAAAGGCAACTGAGACTATTGGCATGCTTTACCATTCCCAGCTAATTTTTTGGTTTATTATAGAGATGAGGGCTCACCAATTTGCCCAGGCCGGTATCAAACCTCTGGGCTCAGGCAGTCCTGCCTCCTCCACTTCCCACAATGCTGGGATTATAGGTGTATCACTGTGTCTGGCAAGAGTGATTATTGATTGGAAATTTTCACAGTCTACCTAAAGAGTAGAGATGGCTAATTGGTAAGAGTCAAGTTTAGAGGGTATAGATTTAGGGAAGAGTACATAGTTATTTTAAAAAACTGAAATTTGAAATTTTTCTAGAATAACCAAGAATGAAAGAAACCCTGGTTTCCTCCTAAGCCAAACACTCTCCAGATCAATTCAGTGGTATGAAGAGCCCCCTAGGGTCTCTAGACTGAACCTGCCTATGATTAAATATGTGGCATTGGTCTTGAGGCATTCTTCTTTTTTTTTTTGAGTTGGAGTCTCACTCTGTCGCCCATCCTGGAGTGCAGTGGCACACTCACAGCCACTGCAGCCTTGACCTGCTGGGCTCAGGCGATTCTTCTGCCTCAGCCTGCCAAGTAACTGGAACTACAGGCACGCATTACCATGCCCAGCTAATTTTTTTGATTTATTGTAGAGATGAGGTCTCACCAAGCTGGTCTGGAACCCAAGGGTTCAGGCAATCCTCTCACCTCAGTCTCCTACAGTGCTGGGATTATAAGCGTGAGCCACCATGCCCAGCCCAATAACTTAACATTTAAAAGAGAATTCTTAGGGCCTGGTGAGGTGGCTCAATCTGTAATCCTAGCACTTTGGGAGGCCAAAGCAAGAGGATTGCCTGAGCCTGGGGGTTCAACACCAACCTGAGCAACATGACGAGGTCCTTCCACCTCAGCCTTCCAAGTAGCTGGAACTACAGGCATGGACCACCATGCCTGGCTAATTTTTTGATTTACTGTAGAGATGAGGTCTCACCAAGTTGCCCAGGGTGATCTTGAACCCCTGGGCTAGGACAGTCCTCTTACCTCAGCCTCCCAAAGTGCTGGGATTATAGGCATGAGTTATCATGTCCGACTGAGACATTCTTCATAGTGTATTCCCTACATAAATATTGAAAAATTATGAATCTCCTAGCACATATGAGAGCAATATATATTTTTCTCTCATAAGTTTAAATAGCTGCAATGAGTCGGGCATCGTGACTCAAGCCTATAATCCTAGCACATTGGGAGTCTGAGGTGAGAGGATTGCCTGAGCCCACAGGTTTGAGACCAGCCCGGGCAACATGGTGAGACCTTGTCTTTACAATAAATCAAAAAAATAGCTGGGTGTGGTGGTGTATGCCTGTAGTTCTGGCTACTTGGAAGGCTGAAGTGGAAGGATTGTCTGAGCTCAGCAGGTCGATTCTGCAGTTCCTGGGCCACTGCCCTGGGCGACAGAGTGAAACTCCAACTCAAAAAAAAAAAAAAAGCTGCAATGGATGTATTTAAAATATAGGCCAGGCACAGTGGCTCTCAGCACTTTGGGAGGCCGAGGCGGGAGGATTGCTTGAGCCTAGGAGTTTGAGACCAGCCAGAGCAACATAGTGAGACTTCATCTCTACCAAAAAAAAAAAAAATTAACCAGGCATGGTAGCACGCCTGTAGCCCAGCTACTCAGGAGACTGAGGTGGAAGGATTGCCATAACCAAGTGCAGTGAGCTGTGATAGTGCTACTGCCCTCCAGCCTGGGTGACAGAGTGAGACCCAGACTCGAATGAATGAATGAAAGAAAGAAAGAGAGAGAGAAATATAATGTGAAGACTGGACATGGTAGCATGCACTTGTAATCCCAGCTGTTTAAGAGGCTAAGGTGGAAGGTTTGCTTGAGCCCTGGAGTTCAAGGTCAGCCTGGCAACATAGTGTGTCCCAGACACACACACACACACACACACACACACACACAAAATGACATATTTTCATCAAAACTGGAAGGTCTGGGTGCAGTGACTCATGCCTTTATTCCCAGCGCATTGGGATTCCGAGGTGAGTGGATTACCTGAGCGCAGGTGTCGGAGCCTCCCTAGACAACATAGCAAAACCTTGTCTCCACAAAAAAATTAAAAAATTACCTAGGTATGGTGTTGTGCCTTTGTAGTCCCAGCTGCTTGGGTGACTGAGGTGGAAGAATGGTGTGAGCCCAGGAGGTTGAGGCTGTGGTGAGCTGTGATTGTGCCAGTATACTTCAACCTGGGCAACAGAGCAAGATCCCCAACTTAAAAAAAAAAAAGAACAAAAACTGGAAGTACAGAGTTAACTTTTTTATTGTTTCCTAGAAGCATAGAATGCAAAGCTAGTCCTGTCAAATCAGGCTACTACACGTATCAGAATTAATTCCTTTGGGCAGACATTTTAGTTTACTTCCCATAAGTACATTAGTTCTTGCTCCATGTAGACAACCTTCTCACATCTGAGTTCTAATTTTATTTTTAAAGTAGGATTTGTTGAGAGGACAGAGAAACTCCCACAGTGGGAGTGGACCCGAGGGAGTTGCCTGAATTCTAATTTTAAGATAGAAATGAGAGGATTGATTTGTCCCCAGGTGAAATAAGGGACTTCCCCCTTGAGTGAGAGGTTTTGCCCTCAAGAGCTGAGCATGCTGGAATTATTCCTAGGCCTAAATAGGGCCTAGACCTACACTTGTCATTATGGTAGCCACTAGCTACATGTGGCTATTGAGTACTTGAAATGTGACAAATATGAATTTAGATGTGTTTGTAGATATATATATATATATATATATGTTTTTTTTTTTTTTGAGTTGGAGTCTCATTCTGTTGCCC